GGGGGCCCGCCCCCGGGCGTGCTAGTGTCCCCGCCCCCTGGCGCCTGGCGGGCAAACGGCCACGCCCCCTGGCGCCCGGCAACCTCAAAAGGTTGGGAACCACTGCTCTAAGGGTATGTCTACACTTGCACCCTATTTCAAAATAGGGATGCAAATGTAGGCATTCGAAATAGTAAATGAAGCCGGGATTTAAATATCCCTTGCTTCATTAGCATAATCGCATCCGGGTTCTATTTCAAAATAAAACGCCTTGTGAAACCGCGTTATTTTGAGAGAAAACTCTTCTCTTGAAATAATGGTTATTCCACATCCAGTGAGGTTTACCAGTTATTTCGAGAGAAGGGCTTTCTCTCGAAATAACGTGGTTACGCAGGGCGTTTTATTTCGAAACCAGCGCGATTTCGAAATAGCACCCGGACGCGATTATGCTAATGAAGCGCGGGATATTTCAGTCCCAGCTTCATTTACTATTTTGAATGCCTGCATTTGCATCCCTGTTTCGAAATAGGGTGCAAGTGTAGACCTACCCTAAGAGCCCATATGTATCTTTTATGTGAACAGACACAGATAGAGCATACACTACTTCTGTTGTACTTAAATAGGGTACTCTTCAAATCCACTTATCCTCATGACTAATCTAAACATTTCTTTTAAACACTGTGCTTTGATAATGCACAGCGCTGTACATTCATAAACAATCTGTAAAGATTTCCATTTACTTCAGGGTATGCACTGTCCAGGACCAATATGAGATGGAGTGGTTAGTAAGATGTTCTATACTTCCGCTCCTTTTAAGGATTACTTCATGCCCCTGTAAACATATCTTAATTATGGTTCTTCTGGAAAAATACAATCCGTGCTCACTGAACCAAAAATGCCTTTTGTGAGGCCAACAGTACAATTGGCCTGCTCGTGCTCTAAGAAGACATGTACTGCCGCTGGGATGGGAATTCGTGCCTATAGCATGTTGGAGGCGTAGTTAATATAAAGCCTAAGGAGTTTGCTGTCTTAGATGTAGAAGTCACTTGTAGTATGCACATTGTGGTTTTTTTCAAGCGTAATTGCGTAAAGGCTTGGAAAAACTAAAAGACTGTAGAATCATTAGAACTCACCGTGTTCACTAACAAGTAGTGACAGTGGTTTTAATCTTAGCACAAAGGTCAAACCCTCCATGCCTTTCCTAGCTAAACAATCTTTGTGAAGTCGGTGGCACTAACGCTTCAGTGCAGTCAGTAGGTTTGTGTGCAGCTGTTTGAAAATATGGCGAGGAGTCCTGTGGCACCTTATAGACTAACTGAAGTGTAGGCGCATGAGCTTTCGTGGGCAAAGACCCACTTCGTCAGATGCATGTAGTGGAAATTTCCAGAGGCAGGTATAAATATGCAGGCCAGGATCAGGCTGGAGATGACGAGATGGATCCAATCAAGGAGGATGAGACCCACTTCTAGTAGCTGATCTGGAGGTGTGAGTTCCAAGAGAGGAGAAGCTGTTTTTGTAGTTAGCAAGCCATTCACAGTCTTTGTGAAATATTGGCACCATTCCTATGAAATCGGGACATTTGGTCACCCTAGTACAGGGGAGGGGAGGGGAACCTACAGTCTGTGGGCTGGATCTGGAATAGAGATTTTAAATATCAGTTAATTGAGTAGTTGATCAACCTCATGAATTCTTATTGGTTAGTTGACTAGTCTATAGACCCTGGGGAGTCCCTATCCAGGGGGAAGGGGTCTGAGCTCCCAGACCCAGTATGAGCCGCAACTGAGCCAGGCTGCCTGTCCGCCTGGCTCCTAATACACTTTAAATGGAGAGCCACAGTGGGGTAAGTCCAGGACCCAGCGCAAGCCAGGACTGAGCTGGGCTGCTGGCCAGCCTGCTAAAAAATGTACTGGCAAGGGATGGGGAGGAGGAGGAATGTGTGTAGTCTATAGCATTAACCGATAAGCTTTTGCTTATTGGTTAATTGGTTAATCGACTATACTATTACATCCCTAATATGGACCCTGGCTTACTTGGTGTTCCCCTCCCCCCCGGGCTGGAGAGCAGGCACCAACAGCCCCGAGCCTTGATGCCTCCTTCACCCAGCTGGACACAAGAGCCAGCAGCCTTGGCAACCCCCCCACAAACACACTAGCGAGGGTGTTAGAGACGACAGCCCCATAGCCAGGTCAGCAAGTTGTTTGGCATTTGGGGGGCGGGGGTTGTTTTATTTTCTTTTATTTTGGTTTGATTTGGTTTTGGTTGGTATTTTATTGCTTTGCTTTGCTTTGCTTGTTGGGTGAGGGAGGTGCATGGGGTGGGTTTTTTTGGGGGGGGGGGGGGGTTTTTTACTTTTCACTGGTGTGTGGTCCCTGCGCTGGGTATGTTGACTCCAGCTACGTTATTCTCACAGCTGGAGATGCGAATCTTAGGGCGACTTTCCCCAGTAGCGTAGTCCTGGCCCAGCAATAGCTAGCATCAGATGCTTCGAAGGAAGATGCAAGAAACCCTGCAGAAGGTAGACCGGGAATAACCGGCTCACAGACGATATTTTTTCCAAGTCCCCATTAGTCAAATATTGGTTCATACTATCAGGCAAGAAAAGTTTCTGTCCCTTCTAGAACTGTGGGTGAATTTTAGTGGGGAGGAGAGTTGCTTTTTGTCCTGGGTTTTTTGCTTGCTTTTTTCTATCATACCGGTATTTTCTTGATCACCGTTAGTGATCTGCAAACAATAACTGAGTATTATGTGCAGGTCAGTTTGTGTAACTATTGTGTGTGCCCCTGAGATAAACCTGTGAGCTTTCCAAAGGGTCAAGGAGCTCTCCCAGGGCAAACAAACCCTGGGGCACTGATACCAGATGATATAAAGAGAGAGAGAGTGTGCGTATTTTCCACTTTTGGGAGGAGGCGACAATCAGAGAGACAGCAGAGGAGGTGAGCAAACAGCAGTCGAATTGCAGAGACCGCTTTCTTTTCCTCTTGTTTTGTTTTCTTCATGCTGGGAGGTAGTATAGGGGCTGATCCTGCAGTCCTTACTCAGGCAAAACTCTCCAATGAAGTGCATGGGGAGTTTTCCCGAAGGATTGCAAGTTATGTTTCATAATATGCACAAATAATGACGATGTGGTGTATGTAGAAGCTTCTAGATTTACATGAATAGTTCACTGAAATGCATTTTGGGGAAATTTTGTGCTCAGGCAGCTATCTGTATCTTTTATTTCTGGACTCATCATCTGTAGAAGATGCAGAAAATATCAGGGCCAAATCCTCCACTTTTGTAAATCAGCAAAGCCCTACTAAAGTCCAGGAGGCAACACCAGTTTACACCAGCTGCGGTCTGGGTTCATTGTCTTAATGTTCATTGGTACGCATTCCCCTGTAACTGTATGAAAAGCATACTTTGTACAGGGCGCAACAGAAACCTGGGAATGATTTATCCAAGCTGTAAAGCCGGTGAAGTCATTGGAGTTGCACCATAATAAATTTACAACAATGGATTTCTAGGAGACCTAAAATGATGTATTCCTTTTTTTTTAATTAGCTATTTTGCTGTCCATGTTTTTTTTTATTTTGCCTAGTTGGTATACTTTTGGGGGTTGTAAATTAGCTGTAAAACTCAAGAAAAAGACCTGGGGTGAAATACTAAGCAAGCCGGAGGAACTTAGGTAGTAAGTAGCACTTTAAAAAATGACTTAGGAAATTAGAGAATTAGGGTCCCAGTCATTGAAAAACGTCGCCCGTAGTCGTCATGTGGGTTGTTCAGTGAGAATCTAGGCTCCGGGTGCACCAGAGGTCAGAAAAGCAAACCAAAATGTTGGGATGCACAAGGACTAGAAGAAAAACAATACTGTACGTATTATGATTCTATTATATAAATCAGTGTTCTGGCCTTTCCTGAAATATCGCTCTCCGTCCTACCCACTCTGTCTGAAAAGGGCAGAGCAGAAATATCCAGGAGTTAGAAACGAGCAGCAAGAATGACTGGTCTGAAAAAACTTCCTTGTGAAAGTAGACTGAAAAGATTAGGACTATTCAGTATGAGGAGACCAGTAAGAGGGGACGGGATAGAGTTATACACAATAATGAGTGTATAGAGACGGTGGACTTTGAGTAAGTCACTTTGTCTCTGTGTGCTGCTGTTCCCAACTGTAAAATGCTTCCCTGTCTCCCAGTGGTCTTGTGAGGATGAAGTGCTTTGAGATCTAGCGATGAAAAGTGCTGCATAAGAAATAGGCATTATTAGTATTATTCTACCTCCCTCTAAAGCAGCTAGTGCCAGCCACTGTCCTAAATAAGCTATGGTGCCAGGCAGGCCTCTAGCCTGATGTAATATGATGGTGTGTCTGTTCCTAGGAATCTAAAACTGTCTTAAGGTTCAGTTCTTGATCATTTGGTCATTTGTCATAAGAACATCAGAACGGCCAGACTGGGTCAGACCAACGGTTCATCTAGCCCAGTATCCTGTCTGCCGACAGTAGCCAATACCAGATGCCCTAGAGGGAGGGACCACAACAGGTAATCCTCATGTGATCCCTCCCCTGTCACCCATTTCCAGACAAACAGAGGCTAGGGACACCATTCCTACCCATCCTGGCTAATAACCATTGATGGACCTAACCTCCATGAATCTATCTAGCTCTTTTTTGAACCCTGTTAAAGTGCTAGCCTTCACCACATCCTCTGGCAAGGAGTTCCACAGGCTGACTATGCACTGAGCAAAGAAAAACTTCCTTTTGTTTGTTTGTCCCTCTTGCCTTAAATCTTGGCTTTTAATCAGATGAAGATATTGCGAAAGAGAAAGGGGGCAAATAGATGTATAAATACTTGTCTGTTCATCTTTGCTTCGTGCTTTTCTGTTTTTCTCCTTTTCTAACCAGTCCTTCCTTTGAGTGTTATAACTGAGCAGAAATTTCATACCAGATTGTCCCCGGAGGGGAAGGATCTAGCCAAACTGTCTTCTTCCCTTCCAGGGCAAGTGCAGAAAGAAGATGTTCAAGTCTGTTGCAGTCCTGTTTCTTGCTCTCTTAGCAACATCTACCTGCAAAAGGGATAGATGTCTGGAGGGAGAGACTCACAAGCCTAGACCAAGCCCTGAGCCGGACATGCACGAATGCACGCTGTACTCTGAATGTAAGAGCTGTTGAATCTTTGGCAGGGAATGTCCAGATGAGCTGAAAAGCTGACCTTTGCGTCCGCTCGCAGTCCCTAGCACACTTTGAATGACTTTAACATTGTGCAGTATTTACAGTAGGAGTTTTGTTTGAAAAGCAACTTTTATTGGCTTGTTCCTCACTACATCCAGTGCCAAATGCAGGGCCAGAGACTGCTCTCTTGAGTCTGGTTGCAAGACTCTTACTGGCTTCAAGAACTAAACTTCAAAAATTTATGTTCCAGATCTCATTCTGTTGTAACTCCTTTTAGTTAAGCTTACCACAGGGACGGTTTCGGTCTGATGTGAATAAGCACAACATAATCATCTTGATTGTAATTTACCAGTGCATGAATTATTATCCTAATTAACTTTCTGATCTGATTAAAAGTAAAGGCCCATCAGAAAATGTAGAACATTAAAATGCTGTGCCGGATATAAGAATAAAGCCGATATTCACTGCATGTCCTCCTTTTTTCTTCTTTATTTGGTAACTTTTGTATTCAAAGGCTGGAGGTCAGAAATTTCACTCTCCCAGCACATGACAGCTGGTTAAACACCACTTAGCTACCTGGCACTGACTGAAGCACATTCTCACAAAACACTGTTGATACAAGTTCAGTCCCACTTAATCAGCGGCCACATTATCATTTCCAAAATCAGACCCAAGAGAGTCTTCCGCCCTCGTTGTTACCATTTTGGAGTGTGCGCCAAAACGAGATTCATTCTCAATGTTGAGTTTTCCCGATTTTGAGTGTGAAAGTAAACCCTGACTGTAGTGTCTTTTGTTTGATTTCCAACAGCTTCTTGTTGCTATGCAAATTTCACCGAGCAACTGGCTCATTCCCCAGTCATTAAAGTGAGCCACAGCTCCTGGGACAGATGCGGGGAACTCAGTAAATCGTAAGTCAGGTTTGATATTGTGTGTGTCCTGATGCAATAGGACTATCCCGTACATTGCTGAAACTGCCAACATTAACTTCCCCTGGGATTTCTGATGGAAATGCCATAGATTTTCCTGGATATGCTGCCTTGTGCGACTTCCCCCATTTTGGCCCCTTCTTCTCAGATCCTCTCTGTTGCTTCTCTCCTCATACAAAACCCAATGGAGCCTTACACACACTGCATATATGCAGAAGAGCTGCTGCCATTTCACAAAGGGAGTGATGAGTCTCTTAAGACCTGCTTTAACAAAAATAGAACCAGATTCCCGGGCATGCTCTCTCTGGTGTACAATCTGGCAATGCAAACCAGTAATAAACCTGGTTTAACTGGCTGGTTAAGATCCATTTACAGCCGTGCCTGCTGTGTACTGCTGCAGCAGTGCAAAACAGATGAGATTTACCATTTAATCTAAAATGTAACCATTTTTAAAAAACCAAACAGATAAATTAGATTAAAAGACTTTAAAAAAATGTAAAAGGGACGCCAGAAAGGAAACTTGCAAATAACGAGAAAAATTCTTGTAGTCTTGCGAGTTGTGTAACTACGGTATACAGAATATGTTCTTAATTGTGGCTTGTAGTTCTTCACTACATTTTGAGTTGTGAAACGGCGACGCAAATAAAAGAATGAAAGTGCAAAACATTTAAGTAAAAATGAATTTGCAAATGAGTAGCTAATGCCTGTGTCTCCCAGGAGCACAACTATAATAGGTGGTTTTTCAGTAACTTCAGCGGGACTGTGGGAACATCTATATACTGGTGAAATCACAAGACTGTAACACAGAAACAAAGCTTTATGTTGTGGTTTGATGCTACATTTTATTATTGCCTTGAACTTGGCCATTTCTTGCCAGCAAAAATTCAGTGGCTCAGCTGTTCACAGAAAGCAAGTACAAGAGCCCAAAATGTGACCAATCATTCATTGAAAAAATGAGTGAATATTGGTAAACTTTTTTGAATGATTTGTCCAGTTCCAGTAATTACACAGGCAGAATTTTTGACCAACGTCGAAGGAAGAGTTTCGAATCTATACAGAAATAAGGCGAGAGGATGGATTTAAACTGCTCCATATAGGGATGTGTCCTGTAAAATCTGTGGGGAATTGTGGACTATAATCTTGGATGGTGAGAGGCAGATGTAATTGTTGTTTTTCTCACTCAATGTAGGTGCGAAGAGTACATGAAGAAAATCGAGTGCTTTTACCGGTGCTCCCCACATGCCGCTCACTGGATCAATCCCAACTACACTTCTGGTATTAAGTTAGTTCCTTTGTGCCAAAACTTCTGTGATGACTGGTAGGTTTAATACTTTACATTGTTCATATTTATAATTATATTTGAGATACCTTTAAGAGGCAGGCACAAATGAGCAAATAATGACCTTCCCAAATAAATGGCAACAAAATTTGATATCACTCTACATCATTTATCTCCCTGCTTTTGATCAACTTCTCTTTTTTTTCCCCCTACACCTCTCATTACTCCCCTTTGATGTTATTACCCTGTCAATAATAACATAATCAGCATGGCCCATACACAGTGACATCAAGTTTAGTATAAAGCCAGTTTGTACAATGGGTTTGGAATACAAATATGTAAGCAGCATAATCACATAAGTTCTCTAAATTTGTGCCTGTGATCTCCATAAAATTATTTTCTTTGTGTATCTATTAAGAGATCATGGGATAAACTAACGTAAATTCATTTATGTAATACAATTAATTTATTTTTAACCTTTTGCCTCTTCAAGTACTTTCTCTCTACGAATCCATCTCTATGGTAGCTGGTTTTAGTACTCCATATTTCAGAACAGTTTTCAAATAGCCACAAATTAATAAAAATGATAATGACCCAAAAATATTTAAATGTTTCTTCCCCCAAATACAACTCAAATAAAAACAGCCAGTAAAAATGACTTTGTGAGATGCAAGGTGGGAGAGTTTTCAGCCCAATAGCTTCTTGCAAACCATTAAATCTAGACATTTTGTATCCCCCTAGAGAACTAAGAATCCTGATTTTTTTTCCCAGTGTAGATACCATTTTATGTTTAGCTAGAAGCCATCTTGTATAACAGAAACCATTTCAGCTTTTTGCCTTTGCACGTAGACTAGAGTGAACTTTTTATTACCCCATGTTCCAGGCCAAGACAGATGTGCTATTGGAATGTGTTAAATGGGCTGGTTTAGATAGGAGAGGTACTCCCTCGTACCTGTCCGCCATCTTATTGACAAGGCTTTATTTTTCCTAGCTTAATAGATGACTTTTGTAATTGGATGCCCTGACGTCAGGCTGTCTGGTCAAGGGTATAAAGATACTAGGATTGATTGTATTAGGTAGCTTCACTGGGCCCGGCTTTGCTGGGACCACGTTTAGCTCACTTTGCTTTATTGGCCAATAAAACTGTCTGTTTAGCCGCGTAAACTGAGTGAAGTCTTTGCTTCGACACCAGTGATCCAGCTTCAGCATCTATGTATAGGTATAGATAGTTGTGAAATGTAAATCCTTAATCATGAAACCTTGGTGCTTGAAACAGCTATGTTAGAATAACGAGCTTGAAAAATTCATTGGATCTGTTTTCTTTGCTATTAAGTTTTAGGCTTGTGCATTGTAATTAGAGAAATTTGGCTTCACTAGCAAAATGATCTGAAGTGTCATTCAAATAATGGCTGAGTTGCTCAGATCAGTCTGAGGACCGAGAGCCCTGTCTTCCATTCGCATTGATGAGAGACGCACTGGGACAGACCGTATCTATTATAATTATTGGAAACTGTTGGTGAAAGATACTGTTGGTGAAAGAGACGAACTTTCAAGCTCCTCAAGTCTGGGAGATGTACTCGGAATATCACAGCTGAACTCTAGATGGGACAGATTATTTAGCCTAGTTAACACCTTTCAAGGGAGCATGCAAGATGAAGTGTCCAGTCATAGTAGGCAAGATGGGGGTGGGGAGAGCTGGGGGTAGGTTTAGTAGATTATTGATTGTTGTAATAAGCCATAAATCCAGTATCTTATCATAGATGTTGGAACTCGAAATGGTGGGGGAGCTGCCAACCCCCCGGACTGAAGCGGATTTTATTATAAACAAGCTTTACAGTTTGGTTCAATAGCTCTTGGGACCCCCATTATAAAAATTGTTCCAGCTCCCCCTCGATCTCTGTTCAGTCCATGATTTATAGTGTCTAGAAAAGTCAAGAACTTAAACTCCCAGGCTTGTCTTTTGGGGGTGTTGGGCAGGTTTCCTTTGAGAATGGGGACCGATAGGTCAGGTACAGGCTGATCGCTTTGTTCAAAGTGTCCACCCGGGCTTGATGTGGTGTTTTCAAGCTTATTGTTTTCCTGGGCGAGTTGATTCGAGAGCAGTGATTGCTCTGTTTCATCCACGTAGCTGTTGGCACACGGGATGAGGTGGTTTTTAAATGTCCTCTCTGCTCCATGTCTGAGCTGGAGAAGGCAGGTCAAAGAAAGATAAAGTTCCCTCCTGTGTCCCACTGACAACTTTTAGCCTGTGGTAGAAAATTCCATTTTGCCAGAGGAGCAGCCCATGGTTTAATCCTGGAGCTTTCCACCATCTCTTTTGGATAGGCTGGCTCCAGGTTTTTGAATCTGAGAGATAGGGACCGAGACCTTTAACTTGACTGGAGAGGCTCAGATCTCTGCATTCAACTCCTAACCGACCACCGCCAAAAGGTGAAGGTGTTTGAATAATAGACGCCAGGTTGGGCCCCGACCCACCAAGAAAGGGGGCAAAAGAGGCAATTGCACGGGGGCCCACTGGAATTAAGGGGGCCCAGGGCTGCTGCATGGCTGCGGCATCCCTGACCTGGTCCTTTCAAATAGCATGGCTGTAGCAGCATAGCAACAGCTGCCTGAGAGCCCGGAGCCCAGATCCGAGGAGCCGCAAGGTGGGAGGGGGGCCGGAGCCCCCTGCTGCTTGGAACCCTCCCGCAGGTCTGTAGAGTGGCAGGGCCGGGGGAAGGGCGGCAGAGTGAGTGGGGAGGGGAGAGCTGGGCTGGGAACGGCCGGGGAGAGCCAGGTGGGGAAGAGGAGGGAGCCGGTAGGGACTGCAGGGAGGGGAACCAGGCTGAGAAGGCAAAAGAGCAGAGAGGTACAGGCCAGGGTAGACAAGGATGGATGAGAGAAAGGAGCTTGGGGAGGGGGGGGCACAGGACCACTTTGGGGGCAGAGCTGGGCTGAGGGAGTCGGGGGGGGCAGAGAGGGGAAGGAGGGTGAAGGGGAACCACCAGGCAGGTAGGGTATGGGGCAGTGACCGAGCTGAGGGCTCTCTTATTGAAGGGTGGTGCTTGGGGTTTCTCTGGGTGGGGAGGTGGGTGGCTCCAGCTCCTTCCAAGGGAGAGAGTGAGGGGCCCCACTGTTGTGGTGTCCAGGGGCCTGGAAGTCCTGTCAGCAGGCCAGGGGGGCCCTCTCTCATATCCGGTATTTATAGGAATCGCTGCCTTATTATTGATGGCGATGCCCAGTACATGCCTGGCTCTTTGCAGGCTGGTAAGAGAGAACAACCTTGCCCCAACCCCAAGGACAGCCAGCTGGCTACGCGGACAGGGCTTAGGGGGGAGAGGAAAGAGCATCGCTTTTCTCTCCCGTTGGTATGCTCTGCGCACCTCACCGTGGTTCACAATGGCGGAATGGCAAAAGTGGGGCCGCAGGAGGCACTGGCGTGAGGAGAGAGCAGGGTCTCGTGGGAGGAGCAGAGGAGGGTGACGAGTCTGCAGAAGACGCAGCACAGAAAAGAGCCGGGGGGGGGGAGGGTGTTACACAAAGAGCTGATGAATGAGCAGCCGCGGGCAGGATCAGTCCCGGAGCAAGGAAGCGTCGTGCAATAGGAACGGTAGGGATGAGGGAGAGTTACGTAGCTTTTGATAAGGGCTGGCAAGGAGCTTAAATGTGATGCAGCAGTAGACAAGAATACCATGGAAAGGACTCCAAGGCTTTGTCTACACTGCCGGCTTTTGCCAGCAGACAGTATGCAAATGAAGCGTGGATTAGCATTTTGTCGCGCTTCATTTGCATAATCTATTCGAGCCATTTTTGCACAAAAACAAACAGTGTGGAGGTTTCCTTTTTGTGCAAAAGAGGCACAAGGAAAGGCATAAGGATCTTGCGCAAAAAGGAAACGTCCACACGGCTTGTTTTTGCACAAAAACCCCTTGTGCAAAAACGGCTCGAATAGATTATGCAAATGAAGGGTGACAAAATGCTGATCAGCACTTAATTTGCATACTCTCTGCCAGTAAAAGCCGGCAGTGTAGATATAGCCCAAGAAGAGTGATCCGATCAATAGGAGATAACTTCTACTCTGTTGCCCAACCCAATCTATTTCAGGGCATGATCCAAAGCCCATTGTGATCAATTTGGCCCAGGCACCTAAATCTACTTGAAATAGACCTTAGGTACCATACACTTGAGGGTCTGGGCTTTGGAGTCTTTCTCTTGGATATCACTAGACTTTGGACCAGGCTCATAATAGACAATATGATGTGCCACTGAAAACTAGAATAAACCTGATACAATCCAATCAGTCCCACAAAGAATCATGATCCGTCTGTTATGTAAAACTAAAGGAGAGCATAATGGTGGAAGAAAAGACACGTCACACATGTTATTTATGCCTGTTTTAAGGCCCCTGGTCTGCTGCCTGGTGATGGAAGGCAGCTTTTGTGTAAATGAGAATGAAGCCTGTGATGACGTTACAAAGCACTCCAGTTTTCCTTGTGTGGTTTAGCGGAATATAAACAGAACCCCCTGGTAAATCATGTTTTGTACCTTGAAAAAAAGGCCGCTTTGGTCTGGGAGTGTATGTATTATGTCCAGGAGCGGCCCTGGACGAGCTGCCGGCAACTGGCACTCTAGGTGAAACACACGATCGGCGCCCCTGCCTCCAAAGCCCTCAACAGCCGTTTATCTTGGCACCCTAGGCGACCGCCTAGTTCGCCTGTATTGACGGGCCACCGCTGATTACGTCTGTGAGTTGTTCCAGGCAAGGGCTCTCCCTTACCTCTTTGCAGTCTGACTTTCTGTCCCGTTTCCTATGCATCCTACTCAGTTGTTACTCCACCTGTATCCTATACCTCTTGCATGGATACAGTGCTATGCAAATGACACAGTATGTTATATGCATGGCTGGGTATCTTGCACCTTTCAGGGTCATTCCCATTTTCTCTAGGTTAGAAATGTACTTTGAACAAAATTGCCCCTCTCCCGGATATTCCAAAGTCGCCTTTGCACACATGGGAGACCCTTTAGCATGCCTCAGCGCTGCGGGAGAATTGACCTACTTT